TGTCCATCCCTGGGGAAGCGCACCCCGCTGAGTGCCCCAGGCCATCCCGCTCCAGCCGCCTCTGGAAGTGCATCCCGGGGGGATGAGCGGGGCGGGGCCGCTGCTCCAGCGGTTTTGGGGGTCCGGACCGCGGTTTTTGGGGTCTGGACCGCGGTTTTTGGGGTCTGGACCGCGGTTTTTGGGGTCCGGACCGCAGTTTTTGGGATCCCGGAGCGCGGCCTTTGGGGTCCAGACTGCGGTTTTTGGGGTCCGGACCGCGGCCTTTGGTGTCTGGACTGCGGTTTTGGGGGTCCGGACCGCGGCCTTTGGTGTCTGGACCGCGGTTTTTGGGGTCCGGACCGCGGTTTTTGGGGTCCGGACCGCGGTTTTTGGGGTCCGGACCGCGGTTTTTGGGGTCCGGACTGTGGTTTTTGGGGTCCGGACCGCGGTTTTTGGGGTCCAGACTGCGGTTTTTGGGGTCCGGGCCGCGGTTTTTGGGGTCCCGCCGCCCGCGCACCGCCGCTGCCGTGGGCTCGCACTGCCCTCCAGTGGCGCATCCCGCGCTTCCCGGTGTCCCCTGCCACCCCCTGGTGCCACCCGCCACCTCCCAGGTGTCCCCTGCCACCCCTCATGTGTCCCCTGCCACCCCCAGGTGTCCCCTGCCACCCCCCAGGTGTCCCCTGCCACCATGCAGGTGTCCCCTGCCACCCTCAGCTGTCCCCTTCCACCCTCAGCTGTCCCCTTCCACCCCAGCTGTCCCCTTCCACCCTCAGCTGTCCCCTGCCACCCTCAGCTGTCCCCTGCCACTCCCTGGCTGTCCCCTGACACCCCAGTTGTCCCCTGCCACCCCAGCTGTCCCCTGCCACCCCAGGTGTCCCCTGCCACCCCAGGTGTCCCCTGCCACCCTCAGTTGTCCCCTTCCACCCTCAGTTGTCCCCTTCCACCCCAGCTGTCCCCTTCCACCCTCAGCTGTCCCGTGCCACCCTCAGCTGTCCCCTGCCACCCCAGCTGTCCCCTGCCACCCTCAGCTGTCCCCTGCCACCCCAGCTGTCCCCTGCCACCCTCAGCTGTCCCCTGCCCCCCCAGGTGCCCCTCGCCAGCCGGGCCGTGCCGAGCGGGACTCTCTCATCTCCGGGGCTCCTCCAAACCCCCCAGGGCACCGGGGCGTCCCCGGTCACTGCGGCTCCCTCCTGGCGGCCGCCCTCAGCGCCACGTTGTCGTAGTCGCCGCGGCCGAGCCGCCCGGCGCCCCGCAGCGGGCCGGGCACGGCGTAGTCGTCGCGCCGCGCGTCGTAGGGGCGGCCGGGCCCGGGGGGCTCCTCGGGGGCCGCCTGCAGCCGCCAGGCCTCGCCCTGCACCTCCCGGGGCTCGGCGTACAGCCGGAGCCGCGCCAGGGCCTCGGGCTCGTCGTAGACGTGCTCGGCCGTGGCATCCCCGGGGGGCTCGGGGAGCCCCTCCTGGGC